GTCTGGGGCCACTCACGCCGAACAAATGCCGCCCCATCATAGTTAAGCTTTCTGGCTACAAAATAAAAGATAAGATCCTTTCGGCACGCGCTAAGCTGAGGGAAATAAACGTTACTGTTAGCGAAGATTTCTCGCCCGCCACGCGTATTGCTCGAAGAAAGCTTATCGAGTTTGCTAAAAACCTACCTCAGTCACCAACATTCCAACTGCGCCACAATAAGCTCGTGATAAACAAAAAGCAATACGTGTATGACATGGCAACCGAGAGCGTAGTCGAACTTGCGCCCCAACGCGCCCCTGATAACCCACAGCCGAGCACCTCAGCACACGAGGAGAGATAGGGAAACGCGAGGGGCAGTGGTCTTAACGTATCTGATGTATCGGTTCTTTTCTGTAACATTCGTAGCATAACTAATAAGCGCGATTCACTAACCTCAGCTATAGATACCTGCAATGCTCATATCATAGCATTAACTGAAACCTGGTTGCATCCTCATTTTCGCGATCACGAAATCTTCGAGTCAGCACATTGTTTCTCTGTCTATCGCTGCGACCGCACAACGCGTCGAGGCGGCGGCGTTCTTTTGGCCATTTCCAAGGAATTGTCTTCCCAGTGTATTCATATCCCCAGCAACTTGGAAATGGTATGGGCTATTATTGAAATGAATGGGCAAAGAGTTATTGTTGGTACTTGCTATCGTTCCCCTAATTATTCTTCCACCTTCGTAAACGAGCTACATGATGTAATTAACCTAATTGTGTCTCGTCATCCTACATTACCTTTATTTTTACTGGGCGATTTTAACATTCCTAATATTTCATGGGACAGCGAATCGCCTTATATGCAACCTTTTTCCACTCTAGCAGATGAATTTCTAAATCTATGTTCTCTGTTTTCATTCACGCAACTTGTCAAGCAACCCACAAGAATAACCGAATCAGTCGCGAATACACTAGACCTCGTACTAACATCTTGCCCTGATCTCATCTCAGAAATTACTTACTTACCTGGCTTGAGTGATCATACCCTTTTGTCATTTCACGTCAACCTGCAGCGCGTTAAGACTAAAAGAAAAATGAAAACTATTCGTAATTATCAAAAGGCAAATTTTGAGGCTATTAATAGTGATCTATCTGTCTTCCTCGAAACATTTTTAAAGGACTTTGAAATTCGCAGCGTGCAATCCAACTGGGATATCTTCGTGGCCAAGATCAACAACTTAACTAATAAGTACATTCCTACCCGCACTATCATATCTAACAGTAATGCTCCCTGGTATAACCCCCACATCAGACGTCTATCTAACAGAAAAAAGCGATTGTACAGATCGGCCAATTCATCATCAGACGATGCTCGTTGGGCCGCTTACAAACTGGCTTCTGATGAATACGTGGCGGCCATTAAAACAGCCAGAGAAAAATACCATAATACTACCTTACCTTCCATGCTTGTAACCGACATTAAAAAATTTTGGCGCGTGATAAATCCTGCTGATGATGATAATATTTCATTAGTTGACAGTTCAGGGAATCTCATTCCCCCTCATCAATGTCCGTTTATCTTCAATGAAATTTTTACGCGTAATTTTTCTGTAACTTCCGACATCTCACTACCAAATACCTATTCTTACGACTACCCTGCTATGTTCCCGATAATCATAGATCCTTTAGGTGTCGAAAGCATAATTAGATCACTTAAACTTTCCTCCGCTCCTGGTTGTGACCTCATCAGCCCCAAATTTTTAAAATGTACGAGCGTTTATTGTTCAGTTATCCTGTCAAAATTTTTCAACAGACCATCGATAATGGTTGTCTTCCAGCTGAGTGGACGGTCGGGAAGGTGATTCCACTTCATAAATCAGGTAACAAGCATTCTCCACTTAATTACCGACCAATATCACTAACCAGCATCCCATGTAAAATTTTCGAACATATACTATCTTCGAACCTCGCCAACTTCCTTGAATCTAATTCGTTTTTCACGTCGTCACAACATGGCTTTCGAAAAACCTACTCATGTGAAACACAATTGGTATCAGTCCTTCATAAACTAAATGTTATTCTTGACCATTCCTCATTAGCCGATTGCATCTTTTTAGATTTTTCAAAAGCTTTTGATAAGGTAAGCCATAAGCTATTACTCTATAAATTGCACCAACTTAACCTTGACCCAAAACTTCTTATCTGGCTAGAATGTTTTCTGGTTAACCGCTCGCAGTTCATTGTAGCTAATAATCACCTCTCTCAGCCGAGTGGCGTTCACTCCGGTGTGCCACAAGGCTCTGTGCTCGGACCTCTTCTTTTTCTTATATACATTAATGATCTACCCTCTTGTGTCTCTTCCTATATTCATTTGTTTGCCGATGATTGTGTTGTATTTAGGGAAATAACTTGTAAAAATGACATTAACACGCTCCAGTCCGATCTTAACGCTATTTCTGTTTGGTGCAAAACGTGGTGCATGCAATTGAACATTAACAAATGTAAATTTATGCGGGTGTCCAGGAAAAATCATAATCTACCTGTTTACCATCTTCATAACTCGCCCCTAGATGCTGTGACTAGTTATAAATATCTTGGTATTCACATCACATCAAATCTCACTTGGACAGTTCATATAACATATATAATTAATAACGCTAACCGTATGTTGGGATATCTTCGACGTAATTTTGCAAAAGTTCCCTCATCTCTAAAACTTTTACTTTACAAAACACTAATTCGTCCAAAACTTGAATATGCCGTTTCAGCCTGGGACCCTTGTCATGAAAATCTAATTCACTCACTCGAAATGGTTCAGAATAACTCTGTTCGCTTTATCTTGTCCAACTATAACAGAACTGCGAGCATAACCACAATGAAATTCAGCCTTGACTTACCGTCTTTGTCATCTCGTCGTAAAAACTTTCGTCTTTGCCTCTTTCACAAGTTATTTTATCACCCCCATCTCCGCACCGAACTTATATTACCTCCCCAATACGTTTCATCTCGATTAGATCACGTCCATAAGGTCGGTGTCCCATCGTGCAGGACTAATGCTTTTTTTCAGTCATTTCTCCCACGCACATCAGAAGAGTGGAATCGCCTTCCCGTACCAACAGCTTCAATCGAAGACCTCCATCTGTTCAAGAACGCCTTAACTAATATTGTATGAATAGACGCCATTTTTTTTGTATTTCTAGTAACTGCTTTCTTTTACTCCAACACCATTTTTGTAACCACTCCCCTCTTCAATGCCAAAGGCCCTGAGGGTACATGTAATAAATAAATAAATAAAAATGCGCATATAATCGCGTTAAACTTTGCATGCATTGGCTCGACGTTTATAGACGAGAGGACGCTGCGGTCAAATGCTCAAATGAGTATAAACCACGTTCCATACCACACATTCTATTTCTGACATGGATGAAAACGAACGAAAGGCTCGGCATGCTGTGGCTCAGCGTCTACGCAGACAAGCACCACCAGAGCTTCACCCCAATCAACATCATTCACCACGTGGAGATGCGGTCAATTTTTTTCTGCAGCCTCACGTCTGGGTTTAGTCCACATCACCTACAACGTCGAAGACACCCTGGCAGAAAACAATATTCAGCATCAGTACCCCCAGCTTTTCAAGGGAGTTAGATGCCTTCGAGACCAACAGGTGCACCTGCATGTGGATGACAGTGCGCCACCAGTCGCACAACCCCACCGTCGCATCCCTTTTGCTATGAGGAAACTACTAGAGGCAGAACTGAATAGACTGCTAGCACTAGACATGATTGAGGAAACTGAAGGGCCAACACCGTGGGTGTCTCCGGTTGTTCGAGTGCCCAAGCCACACGACCAGGAAACTTTACGGATGTGCGTAGACATGCGATGCGCCAACAAGGCAATCTGCCGCGAGCGGCACGTCACGCCAACAGTTGACGACATCCTGACAGCACTCAATGGAGCAACGGTGTTCTCCAAACTTGACCTCAAGGAAGGGTACCACCAGCTTGAGTTGTATGAAGACTCCCGGCCAATCACAACTTTCTCGACACACGCCGGACTCTTTAGCTACAAACGTCGGAATTTCGGTATCAACTCATCAGCAGAAGTATTTCAAGACACCATACGACAAGTCCTCGGCAGCATTCCCAACGTGCTTCACGTAACGTCAGTGATGATATCCTGGTTTACGGCACGACCAAGAAAGACCACGACAAAGCCCTTTAGGCAACGTTGGAACGTCTGAGCAAGGGTGGGCTCACGCTAAATCCCAAGAAGTGTAGCTTCTTTCAAGAGCAACTCACTTTTTTTTGGACACGTCTTCTCGAGTTTTGGAGTACAACCAGATCCGATGAACGTGTCGGCTCTCCAGAACGCTGCCCCACCAACAAATGCCAATGAAGTCCGGAGTCTCCTAGGGATGTTCAACTACTGCGGACGTTTCCTCCCCAACCTCGCAAACCTGACTCAACCGTTGCGCCAGCTGACCATCAAAGGAACTCCATGGACTTGGACCAGCGTTGAACAAAAAGCATTCGACGAGCTCAAAGGAATGCTCTCGAACTCTACTACTCTAGCCTATTTCGACCCCGAGAAGAGCACAGATCTCATCGCCGATGCTGCGCCACATAGTCTCAGTGCATTTCTCGCCCAGTCTTCCGCAGCTGGAACTAAGATGGTTGCCCACGGAAGCCGAGCCTTGACGGCTGTGGAAACGCGGTACTCTCAAATAGAACGAGAGATGTTGGCTGTGGTCTGGGGTGTCGAGCACTTCCAGATTTACTTGTTGGGCACCAACTTTCGAGTGCTCACCGACCACAAACCGCACGTCAACATCCTGTCTAGCCCACGTTATTCTCCGTCAGCGAGGATCGAACGTCTGGCACTTCGACTTCAGCCATACAGCCTCGACGTCGCACACACCAAGGGGTCAACTAATCTGAGCGATTACTTGTCTCGACATCCACCACAGACCCCACCAGAAAAAAAAGACAGGCTTCACACCCTTGTAAAGTGTCAGAAGACTACGTCGCCTGCATGATACAGCACAGCTTACCATGCGCCATGACCTTGGAAAATGTCTTAAAGGAAACCAAGGCAGACCCCCGGCCGACCAAGGTGACCAAAGCCTTGCAACTGCCGCCGCAACTCGACAAAAATGCCAAGATGGATGAACTTCTCCGTCCATTTTCCCGAGTAATGAGTGAGCTCAGCCTGTCCAGAGAAGGACTGATCCTGCGAGGGCCGCGGATCGTGATACCTACCAACCTACAGCATAAGGCAGTCCACCTAGCACACAAGGGACACCAAGGATTCACCAAAACAAAACAACTGCTGCGAAGCAAAGTCTGGTTCATTGGGGTAGACAAGATCGTGAACAGTGTTCTGAAGGGCTGTATTGCCTGCCAGGCGGCAACACCTGAACGCCACCGCGATCCACTGCCTGCGTCCAAACTACCGGAGTGTCCTTGGACTGAGTTGTCTCTAGACTTCGCTGGACCATTTCTTGATGGCAAGTATGCAATGGTCCTCATCGACGACCACTCAAAATACCCAGTAGTAAACAGTCTGCGAACACTTGCCGCACGAGTTGTCATCAGCAAACTACGTACCATTTTCGCCCAGTTCAGCATTTCAACGGTGCTGAAGACTGACAATGGTCCTCCATTTAACAGCGGAGACTTCTCAAGATTCGCTCAAGAATTCAGATTCAAACACCACCGTGTCACGCCACTTTGGCCCGAGGCAAACGGTGAGGTAGAGAGATTTATGAGAACGCTCAACAAGCAAGTCTTGACAAGCAGAATCGGAGGCAAGGATTGGACGGACGAGCTACAATCCTTCTTGCTAGCCTACCGCTTCACCCCACATGGCTCTACAAGAACTTAACCGTTTGAGCTCTTTTTCAAGCGCACAGTGAGCAACCTACTTCCGGTAATCCCCGACCCAGACAACAGTAGCCATATTCACATCAAGGCACAAAGAAACGACGAATCCAGGAAAAGATACAACAAAGAATTTGCTGATGCACGGCGACACATTCAGCATCACAAGTTTGTTCCTTGTAAACTTGTAATCTGCAGACAGGAGCGGCGTAACAAGTTCACTCCGTTCTACGACCCCAAGCCCTACGCAGTCATAGAGGTTCATGGACCTCGCGTCAAGGCCTCTCGCAATGGGAAAGTTATAACGCGAAACGCCGCCTTCTTCAAGGATGCATCGCAAGTGATCATCATGTCGGGACGAGAGGAACGCGACATCGAAGACCCACAGCCCCCTCCATCCAACCCTGGCAATCACCTCGCTTAAAACCATCGCTCATCTCCGGCCCCATCTGCACCGCCAGTGACCAAACCAAACTGTGCCGGGCTCCGTTATCCGACAAGAGTTCGTCGTGCTCCTCGTCATCTTTCGGACTTTGCAGTGTAGAAAACTTTTCTTTTCTAACAAAATGTTGATGAGGAATTTTTTTTTTCTTTCTAAGAAACATTGCAAGTTAACGGAATGTATCAGAGCAAACCACATTTTTTAGTCTTCTTTTCTCAGGGGGATAACTGGTGTGAAAGAGAACTTCTCTACCAGTCGGACATTTTCAACATACTTTTAGCGTTGCAGTCTTGTCGAAACAATTTTCTTAGGGGGATAAAGGTATCTACTGTAGGGGAATCTAGCCATAAATCTGGCTTGGTCTGGCAACTGGAACACTCTCCAAAATGGCTACCGACTAACCAATAAACGCTAGTACGTTGTTGTTTTAGTCCAAGGGAATCCTTCCCTTATTTCTACACCTCCCTCGTTACAGTATGTACAGGACATGAAGCGCAAACCAAAGAAGCAGCGGTGCACCGTCATTGGCGGCGCTTCTTCCGGCACCCCGAATCGACGTACGACCCTTCGTTTCAAGTGGACGCTTCCCGCATGAATAGCTGGCCTCGTTTTGGGGATACGCTGGTTTTCCTTCCTTGCACTCTCAGAAAAAAAGGGTATACTCTTACACCCCTTGTTCCATATAAAACACCCCTAAACTTCAGTTCGACGCACAGTGCACTCATTTCGAACTGACGGTACCAACTTTCACGAGCGGCTTGGTAGCCGCGTGGTGGCTTTAAAATCGCTAACGTACTACGTGCTACTAACTACAAAAAAAAAAAATAAATAAATAAAAAAAAAAACATTTTTTTATTGTAAAACCTCGGTGTCTTTTTTTTATTGGATAGGTATTTTAGCTGTTTAATAAGTTATATCGCACCGTTATCAAGCCCCTCGTAAAAGCTGCGGCCGTCATTTCGATGTCAGTGCGCTGTGCGTCGAACAAGTTTTGAAGTGTGTTATTTGGGACCAAAAGGGTGTAAGACTACACCCTTTTATCTGAGAGTGATTCTATCGTTATTTCTTGTGTGGCAAAGAGCTGTGTTGTTTGAAAAATGTGTGGATTTCTCAAGCCGGTCGTGGTTTCGATGGAGTCAACTTTCCGAAGGTAGTGGTGCGGTCGAGATGGAGATGACCAACGATGACAACACCCCGGAAATTGCAGGAAAAAAAAAGTTGTTCGGTTCCGCTGAGCACGTTGCGACAGGGCATACATTTTGTGACCAGTATGACTACGTTCGTTTACAAAGGCCAATCATATACGGGAGAAGAAATACTTACGTTAAAAGCATAAATCGTCAACCCTTCTGGGTTCCAGAACCGAATCTCCCTGAAGGCTCTCACGCTTCTTCATTTATAGGCGCGTGAGGGATCCCACTTTCTCTCTAACCACCGCACACTCAGGCCCCGAGCTTACAGAGGTTATTACGTACACACCCCAGTCCACAGCACTGAGCACTCGCGGCCTACATGATCAGACACAGCACATCCTGAGTGCGGACGTTAACAAGCTCCGGTGCTTTATGGCCAGGTGCGCTCGAGTGTCCTATCTATACCAAGGTAAAATACTTACATGCCCAAACCTAGGTGCATTTAGAGTGCGTACGTGAGCGGGCACCAATGCTACAGTTCCTAATGGCAGACTGAGCTCAAGTATAAGATTCTATGTGGACCAAAAGTGCAAAAGAAAATAAACAACAGCCGACTACGTCATGCACGGCTAGTAATACAATACAGAGATCGCAGTAATGACATTACTAGTAATGAAATTACAATAATTAAATAATTTTTGTGCTAATGCGTAATGTAATGGATTACCTTTCTAAGTTGGTAATTTAGTAATGTAATGAATTACTTTCAGGCAACAATTTCGAGAAAATTACGCATTATTTTTTAAACTACTTATGTCCCAAATGAGAAAGTTCGTTTAAAAGCATTAAAAAAGAAGAAAAGTATTTTGTATGGTCAAATGTGAAAGAGACATGAGGCCAAATAAATGATGGCCATCTGAGCGCAAGCCTCCTACGAAGAACTCGATAAACGCACGAAGGCGGGCTCTAAAGGCCACGGCTCACGAACTCCAGGCAAGACAGATTCACGGCGTCACGTCATCACGACGATACTATACTTCGTTCATCCCTAAGCTGACAGTCCGGTAGGAGCTACCAGCTCACCAGAACCAATCAACCACCTCCCTTTGATCACCTGACCCGTCCCTTTCTCTGCGCGTCGGTATGAACGAGAGCGTGGTTACGTGGCGAAAAACAGATCTGTGACTGTTCCAACGAGCGCGTAACTTCAACCGCACTGTCAGCTTAGGGATGAACGGCTTGTACACGAACTCAGCTCTGTTACATCAGGGCGCGGTGGTGGCGCGTCGGGCGCACTTCCGGTCTGGGGCTTAGGGCGGAAGTCGTCATGCAGGACGTGCATTCCTGCGTTGTTTTGAAAGAAACCAGACAAAAACCTGCCTTCTCGTCAAAACGCCGCAACTGGGGCTGTACCAAAAGAGTCGGGAAAGGTTTGAAGGTCAGTTTTCATGTGCTCGGTTCGACCGATAACGTGGATAGGTGCCGCGAAAAAGGAAAACCAGACGCCGTCGGACCCCGATTGGTTGGGCGGGAAGCACCCTGGGTTTAATACACGGATACTTCTGGTCGTCAGATTTATTTGTTTTGTTCCAACACGAACACGGGAAAACTGCCAAGTTATACGGACCACCTGCAGACTACGCTCAGTGCGTCATCAAGTTCAAGCGGTCGAGTGATCGTTCGAGCTGTTGTCTGCTCTTTCAAACGACAGCGGCCCGTAAACCAAACGTTGGCCCGGTAATTTCGATAAAAAGTAAGTGAAGGCCTCAAAAGACTTTCAAGTTTGAAGGTTGGTTGGGTAAGCAGGCTCGGTGTAAACAGTAGACACAATGAGATGTTGATCATTGTTACCAGTATCTCCGACTTGTTACCAGTATCTCCGACTTGGTCCGATTCTGCTTGCAATTTTCAGTATCGACGTCGACCATCTCAGCTACGGTTCACGTTTTTGCAGCCCGAGCGACGTTATGACTGAAAATAGCGAGCAGAATCTCAGTGTGCGAATCAGGCTTTAGAGTCCATTCTGCGGCGTCCACGCGGAATGAATCGCCGCATGTCACATTATTCACGCGAAGTTTTGCGATGTAACGAGCCTCGTTAATTTTGCCGAGGCCGCTCAAGTAGTCAGACATTGCCAGGGAAACGTAGGATCAACAATTCCAACGCGAAAAAGAGCACGGGGACTCACACCGACGCCGACAACATCTCATTTCAATGGTTTGTTTATGGGCGACGGCGAGCTTCTTGTCCACACTCCATCGCGCATGCGCGGCGCCGGTGGCGTCTGCTAGGGGCGCTCCGGTTTGTTTGTAAACACGAGTTGGTCTACAGGCTACAAGGCGAAGGGCACATCAGCAGTGAAGTCAACCCATTTTAATACCTGAGAGGATAGTACAAACAGATTCCCACCCTTCTTGCTCTTTCGTCAAGCAAGGTCGAACCGTAAGCTTCGCCCATTGAGAACAACAAACGAACGGGATAAATAGTTAATCCCAAATGCCTTGTCGAAAACCCCGGAACAGTTTCGTGTGTATTCATGGCCTTGTTGAGTAAAGAAGCTTTCTGTAGTCAGAAAAGCCGCGAATCGAGCAAAACAGGTGCCGCTCGCGGTATGCCTCGCTGCCTTCCCTTGGGAAGTTTATTCAGGAATTAGTCTACGAGCAGATATCGCCACCCGTTTGTTGGGAAAGTACACATTTTAGGGAACTCGAGCGCGCCATCCCTTTCCTCGACTGGAGACGTTTCTGCAAATATCCAACCCCTTGTGTGACAATGCGCAATAACTTGGGATCTTCAAATATTTGGGAACAATACTCATTGAGAGGAGTGACCGGGAATATGTCAAGAAGTGCTCTTGGGAGAATAGGATTCGATTGCACCCCCGGCGGATAAAAAACGTTTCACGTCGCGTGAAACGTTAACACGTGAACTCTTTACTCCTTGTAAAAATGAGCTTCCATGGCCCGACTTAACATAATGAACCGCACTATAAATTGTCCTAAATCAGGAAGACGGAAACGTATCACCCTTTAACTAAGGACCTTCACCGTTGAATGAACAGCGAAGCCGGTGAGTCGGCTGTCTGTGAGTCACATCTAAAGAAGAGCTCTATCCATAATGTTTAACACTTACGTCGTGTGCGCCAGAAAAACGACTGTTTGTATGGTTAACTT